CAGTCTCAGCCGTGAGTGAACGAGTCCAGAATCAAATCGTCCGTTACACTCAGAGTTGGATGAAAATCCTGGTACCAGGCTGCACTGGCACCTCCTTAATTCCCTTTCTTTTTTTTTAATTGGCAGAATTTCAGATCACCTTATGGGATGAAAAAGCAGCCCTCCATTTTAATTTGGCGGCTGCAGCCACGTTACGTGATTCCATTTTTACCTACAGGAATGCGGATCCGTCCCGAGTTCCCCGAGTTCCTGTTCTCCTCAATGGAGGCCCTAGTACTTCATTTATTTATTTTTTCCCAGAGCAGTGAGTGAGTCACTGTGTGCCATGTAACGACAAACAGCTTTGGATTCACTCAAATTTCCAGGCTTCCGTCACTTCCTTCTCATTTCCTTATCTTTTAGCCACGTGGGGAAAAACTCTAAGAGGAACAGTCTGAGTGCGTGTCCTTATTCGCTTTTTAGATCCTCACCCACCTTACAGCTGGCATCCACCGTAAAGCATTTTATCTGAGTGCAAAGGCAGTGAAAATGTAGAATAATTAACCAGCAAGTAAACAGAGCTACACCTGCTGCTGGAATCGCACACAGACGTGAGGGGCTCGGGCCTCACACACTCGCGCGTTCCCGGGGGAAGCTCCGGCCGGGTCTCATCTCTCGTGATGCACAAAATGACCCAACAGACCTGTGTTCCATAACCAGTCAGATAACTGGTTCATTTGACCCTCGCCGTTCTCTTGACCAAACTCACGGTGGGTCAGTTGGCTTCCCCAAAGCCAACCGGGGAGCGGCTCCACCTGCAGCATCAACAGACCCTGCAGATCACGGACAGCTGCCCTCCCCCCGCCCAGGGTCCCCATGGAGGCTGAGATGTTTGCCTGGACAGAGCCGGCTGAAGCCCCCTTCATTTCCTGGCCCCAAGCCTGACCGTGGAAGACACTCGCTGGCCTGGGAGCCTGTTAACTGCATGTTCCCCGGGGTCCTGACCGTGCGATTGTGACCACTGTGTCCCTCCGAAGTAAAGGCACCTTCCCACACAAGAACGACGGCGCCCTGTCTGCCCTGATCAGAAGGATGTGCCCCGAGCTTCAAAACACTGATCTTTCCAACTCTCCTGAAGTACAGAACCCACCCCTAAGACCCTAACAAATTCCTTCTGTTTAGATGATAAATGTTTTCAGGAAAGCCTGCCTGCATGTCCACAGTGCTTGTAGTCAAGCTGTTCAAAGGACAGCTTAACGGTCCATACGCTCACTCTCCCAAGGTGGAGAAACAGAGATTCTGGAAGCAGGACACGGAGTAAAGGCTGCCGATGTGATCCTCATTCTCACCGCCTTACCCCTCCTACAGTCCGGGTCCAACCGCTCTCTCCCTGAGACTCTGAAGCCAAGACACAGCCTCAACGAGTCACCCATCCACCAAGCCATCTTAGCCTGGCTGGTTGATTTCAACTGAACTTCAGAATAGCAATCTTATTTCAGAGTACTGATTATGTGTCACGGTGCCTAAACTTCGGAGAGAGAGTTTTTTAATTTAACTTGCGTTTCCCGAGTGCCCGGTGGGCGTCCAGAGCAGAGGCACCAACGGTACTTGGCGCGTAACATTTGTGACAACTGGGTCCTGGACACTCAAACAAAACGAGACAGAGAAGTCAGGAGTTTAAACACAGCATACCTTGGCATGATGCAAATCCACCCCATACATGGAGAGCTTTTTGGCGTTTTCCAGAAAATGCATCTCTGCCTCTGCCGGCGTCATCCCTCTGATGAGAAAAAATAAAAAGTAAGACACTGATGCTTTTCTTGGACCTGGAGGGGCTGTAAAGTTTCCCGCTTAGCTCTCCTGCTAATAAGCAAGTTCGCTCAGAGACACCAAGGATTTGCACTCTAGGGGGGATGTGGGGGTGGGGGGGCTGGAGAATAACAGGAAAAACGGCTTTTAAAGGCAACATCACAAAGGGACGCCCTGAGAGGGAGCGTAACCACCCAGAGCTGCAGTCCGTCCCTAATGCACAGACATCAGTCCCGGGAAAGGCAGGCGGGGCGGGGGCCGCTACCCGGCCGGGCACAGCTTCAGCGGGGCTCTGGCTCCGACCTGTGGCTCTTGTGCAGCTCGATCACTTTGTCCTCCAGCTCCTTCGTGTGGTTCGGCGCGAAGTGGAACTCGCTGATGTAGTCGCTCCCGCACTCCTCCGGGTCGTAGTCGCCCAGCTCTGACTGCACCGTGTAGGAGCCCAGCAGGGCGAGGGTGACAAAGGAGCAGGGCAGCCTTCCGGACACGATGTCGTCCCGCAGCTGCAAGCAGAGGTAGTACCTTCCGGGCGCCAAGAGCACGGAGCGGGAAGCGGGGTCAGGACGCGTGAGAAGGCGCGTGAGAAGGCGCCCGCCCAGCACCAAGGGTGCCGCGAGCTCCGCCTCCCCGCGGGGCAACCCCCGGGACACCTTTCCCGGCATCTATCTTTGGATCTAGATTCACGGGGAAGATACGTGACTACAAAGTGTAATATCTAGAGGTGAGTTAATGTTCACAGTAGTTTTACTGACCAAGCACAGAGTAAAAGAAACCTAAACACATATTCCTCTAACATTAAGACACTATTTAAAGTCAAACAAAATCTCTGGTGGAGGGAATCATAATATAAAAATGGTGCTCTTAATAATTCTTAGGCCCCAACTAGCCTAAAGGAAGCCTCCTCCGGATGTCCAGATGCATGTCCTGCCGCGGGACCAAGGCGTGTTTCAGGCAACGCACCGGCTGCACCGCCGTGAACGCTGCTCGCCTTCCTGCATTCCGGGTGACCTGGTCTCTTTATAATAATGAACTTTCTCCTGTTCAAGTTCTCATTGCTTTATTTAGATAACTTCCTAGACTTGAAAGGATCTGAAGACTAACTTTGGAGAATGACTGCCTTAAAATCTGAGTATCTCATTGCTGTAAGTAAACAGTTTTAAATTGGGGGAATATAAAACATTTTCCCTATAATTTTGCCAATATCACACAAATATCACCATTAACAGCTGACTTTTATCTTCTCTCTTATTTTGCTTCTAAGGGTTACAGATGTAATACTAACTCAGAAGACTCCCAGGTAGGTGTGAACACTGATGCGTCTTAGTAATACTCTGCATGGCCCAGGATCTAAGTATAACAATAACATACACTTGGGACCTTTCATATAAGAAGTGAACTGTTCATCTGTTGAAGCAGAGAATAAAGTCTTAAAGCCCCCTCTAAATATGGGGCCTAGAAATTTTAAGCTGATAATACAAGCATCCAGATACAAAAACTTCTACACACTTCACAGGCTCTACAAACATGACACTAATCGAAAGGCGCTGGATTCCGAACCCAGGCACCGACAGGCTCTCTACCGTGAATCAGCCGCTGTTAAATTGTTCCTCAACGTGACTAAGAAGTATCTTTGAATGAGAAGTTACAAATTGCATTTATATTTAATGCAAATGTAAAGGAAAAAAACTAGCTTTCACCCTTCTCCTAACATGTCTGCTGAAACTATTTTTAATCACAGCAAGTGACTGAATTGAAGCTTTTTGAGTAATTTCTCTCTCTTGAAAAGCCTGCCAATGAAGGACGTCAGGCCATGCTGCACAAGGTCGCTCTGACTGGCTGTCAACTCGCTCCCAAACCCAGCGAGAAAACCAGGGCTTCCCAAGGAGGAAGGCCCAGGAGGACATGCAGCGAACCCAGGACAGCCTCGACGTTCAGTCATCACGCCAGAATGCGAGGTTCCTTTCCTGTTGTCTTTTTCCCCCAAAATGAGTTAACCATTTTGCTTGCATACATAGGTCATGGAAGGTAAACTCTTCAACGAGTACGTGCTCATGTGTATGAGTGTGTGTGCGTGCATGCATGTGTGATTTTTTAAAACAGCTATCACCTATCAGATTGGTTATATAAAGGGCATAAGCATCCGAAGACATGTCTTCACTCTAAGTTTTAAAGCAAGAGCACTAAGAATGGCTGTAGCCCTTAAGGCTGAATCCCAGCCAGCCTGGTGGCAGTGGGTGGACAACACCCCTCAGTTCTGCTGATGCTCAGTTTCCCACTGGGTCAGGCAGAGGGAGGTGTCAGCTCAGCACCGAGTCAACTGTGAACGCACATGATCTGGCAACTCTTCCCTTCAGATGCCTGCTCTTACTCAGTTGCCTCTTGTTTGCCACCTCAGCCTGGGTGACTGACGGTAAGGTTCCCAGCGGTAAGCACGCTCTTCTCGGGAGAATTTAAGAGAAGCATGACCCCCCGATATGCCTGCCTTGTTCAGGGCCAACTGTCAGATACCTGGTGATATCTTCAGAGAGCTGGGCGGGGTCTGGTGGGTAAAACTTCACATTGAATGAAAAGTGCCAAGCACCACCTGCAGAGAGGAGAGGAAAGTTAGAATAAACACTTGGACGTTCCCTTTACACTTACTTTACTAACCGACAGCTGGAACTGCCCTAGCTTCTGACACTAATGCAGGCGAGCTTTAAAAACTTTTTTTATTAATTGAAGTGTAGTCGATTCACAATGTTGTGTTGGTCTCTGGTGTGCAGCACATTGACTCAGTTATATGCACACATAGGTATATATTCTTTTCCATTAAGGTTACTACAAGGTACTGAATACAGTTCCCTGTGCTATGCAGCACCTTCCATCATCAACGGAAAAGGACGTCTGCCTTCAATGAAACCCGCAGGTAGGTGTGAAAGTTGATCTAGTTTCTCCTCTTTTCTGCAGTCAAATCCTCCTTACTAGCAAGGAAATTGACTGGGCTTCCTCCCTTTCTCAGGGACGGAGGAGAGCCTTGGGAAGATGGAAAGAAGTGAACGATACGGACAATCCTCAATCACGAGTCTGGAGATCATCGGAATCCACTGCTCTGAAGTTCTGGGACGCGCACATGCCGACGCCACAGACGTGATACCACTGCCTCTGTCCTGTCGGCTTTGTTATTACAGGTCAAATCCCATAATAAGGCATGTCAAGGGACTGTTCAAGGTATTTTTATTGTATGGGAAAGGTTTGCTGTCATATTAAGAAATGAGCTGCTCTATGGGCTTCGGAAAGTTCTTACTTGGGGAAACTTTTTTTTAAATTAAAATATAGTCAGTTTACAATGTTAATTTCTGGTGTACAGCATAGTGATTTGTTTTTTTTTAATTGAGTTATAGTCAGTTTACAATGTGTCAATTTCTGGTGTAGAGCACACTTTTTCAGCCATACATGAGTACACATGTATTCATTTTCCATTCTTTTTCACCATGAGCTACCACAAGATCTTGCATGTATTTCCCCGTGTTACACAGTGATCCAGTTATATATATATATATATATATAGACTACCCTGCCTGGCAGGGACAGCAGCCGTGGTCCTTCTAAGGATCTGTTGTAGGACCAGGCATTACTGGGGGCTTAATGTTATTTCTAAACCACTCAGAGAATATTTCTGAAACGTGGGCTCTAAGAATTGTAAGGCATAAAATATTTGCCCATCAAATATATTTCTAGTGACTGTTTTCCTCACTGGTCTCCAAAAAGTCCTTTTGTTATTCTAAAAATAGTTTGATTTGGTTTTATTTTCCTCTTGATTCTGAGCTACTTCCTGCTAAAACAGAATTGCTGGCCGACGGTGAGGTTCATAATGAGAGCTGGCTTCCCCCCAAGCAAGTGGAATTAAAACTAATGGATTAGTTATGGGAAGTGGATTTACTGCTCTTTTATAATTTTTATCCACTTCAAAGTGAATCCAATGAACACTTCAGCAACGTAATTAAACCACCTCATCATAAATTCGGGTAAATACTCTAAGTTAGAGACTAAGACGTAATGAAAAGTAGAAGAAAGATTATTTCAGTGCAAAAATCCTCATTACAGGAAAGTGAGTTTCAAACGACAGTGGGCCTCAGGCAGTGTCTGAGGTGCCAGTTAAAAATGCCAATTCCGAGGCTCCACCCAGAGGCCGTACCCCAAAGATCTGCAACATGGCCCAGGAATTTGCGGCTTCCTCTGAGGTTCTAACAGAGTGGGGCTTGGGGGGCCACGCTTAGAAAAATCACTGATCCTAAGGAATCCACTTTCCTCAGGTTATAACCCAAACAATCAGAAGGTTTTACAGGACATGATTTTGCAGGGAAAGTTTAAGGAAAATGCAATCTACACCATAGTCAAGAAAAAAAAATCCAGTTAAATGAGGCATAAAACTTGAAATGAATGAGAGAGTCAGATTAAAGCTGAAATACGTAGCCCCATGAAGAGTTTGCTGGAAACCAACCACCGGGAGGATGTGGTGATGCCAAAAAGAGGCCTGCCAGCCCGTGTCTGCTCAGATGACGGCCCTGCTTAGAGAAAGGAAATGAAACAGCCTGCCTGTGCACAATGCCATTCTGCAATGCCGATGTCGGATTTTAAGTGACAAATTTATAATAAACAGAAAATTGTCAAACTGAAGAGAATTCATTCTTTTATTTATTTATTTTTTATTATATATATATATATATATATATATATATATATATATATATATATATATATTTGGTAGGGTAGGTAATTGGGTCTATTTATTTATTTTTAGAGGAGGTACTCGGGACTGAGCCCAGGACCTCATGCATGCTAAGCATGTGCTCTACCACTGAGCTATACCCTTCCCCCCGAGAATTCATTCTCATGAAAAAAAATTCTACCTTTGGTCTTTTATGCCTGCCAAATCTTAAAATTTCTTAATATACTACATTTAGAGCATAAATTACTATAGGTCATCTATTTTCTTCCCAAATTTCCACATATCTATATATGCGTAACTGTTTTCAAACAAAAACGATTTATTTCTCTCACTAACATCTGACTAATGGGAGCCGAGACATGCTTATTCCACTCACCCTATTTAATAGCTACCTAGTATTTCAAGGTACAGCTATTTCATGATTGATGTAATCATTTCTTTATAAACAGATATTTAAGCTGCTCCCAGTTTACTGTTACTGCAAATGGTGTCAGCGTGAGCTTTCACACATGTACACATATGTACAATTTCCCTCTTGCACATACATGGTTATGTTTCTACAAGTAAAAATTAACGGTCAGAAATAAGCACATTTTTCATTTTAATAAACACGCAAAGTGCCTAAAAGGGTAATGTTTCTACCAATTGTGCACAAAATTGCCAGTGCAGGGTATTATTAACTTTTACAAATTTTTGCTAATCTGAGTAGATGAAAAAAATGTCTAATTTTAATTTGCATTTAATTATTAGTAAGACGTAGCACCTTTTGTATTACTTACTAGTTACTCGTGTTTCAGTTTTGTGGGCCATTCATGTATTTAGTTTGTCCACTAGGAAATACGTATTTATTTATTTCCAGAGGGGAGATTAGATTTATACATTTATTCATATTTGGAGGAGGTAATGGGGATTGAGCCCAGGACCCTGCGCACGCCAAGCTGCGCTGCCACTTGAGCTACTACACCCTCCCCCCAAGAAATACGCATTTCTTATTTTGCCTTTAGGGGCCAAGAAAAGAAGATGTTACAAAACAGTAAACTTCAGTCTGACCTGTTATTCCATTTCTAAACTGTTCAATGACTATTACCTTTAGCTTGACTGCTTGTGGCAGCTGGAATTAATATGACATTAATAATTAAGTTTGGAACTTTTAAATGACTGTCAACTGGAGCATCGCTTGACTAAACCAGATTTCACAGCTGTGTACAGGCAAGGAACGAGGTCAAATGTCATGTGATTTTTATCCTTGAGTTGTGATAATTAATACTGGGTATCTGAGTTAGGACCAACCTGCCAAAGATAAAATTTGAGATCTTAATCTCTGTCTTTCAAAACAGTGTGTTCACACCAGCCATGTGGGAACGGGCTGTCAATTCAGACAGCTCCACTCTCGGAAAATCTTCACATTTCCACACAGAATAACCCAAAAGAACTTACTCCGTATCTGTTTTTTAATTTCCTTAGCGGGGTCCAACCAATTCTGAAAAAGAAACGAGAGTTTGAACATGAATCAGAGAAGAATAAAGATGACTCAGTGCCGATCAGGGAGCGACACGGACTAAAGCTATTTGAGAGGGCGGGGTTGCCGAGGGCCTCCAAGCAGGGTCCTTCCACACATCTGGTGCCCCCTTCACTAGCCCCGCGAGGGCCCAGGCACCGTCTAATGAGAAGATGTGCGCACGCACAAGTCAGGCCTGACAAATTTCTTTTCTTCTACAACCACTGCCCCCAGGGATTCAAGCTGGCACAGAAACAGAGGAGAAAATTGCTGGATCCTAGGTTCAAACAAATTACGAGAACAAACTAAAGACAGTCATCCCTCGGTGACTGCAGGGGCTGGTTCCACGGCCCCGGAGGACACTGAAATCTGAAGATGCTCAAGTCTCTTTTATAAAATGGTGCAGTATTTGTCTGTAACCTACACAATCCCTCCGTATACTTGAAATGGTCTCTAGATTGATATATAACACCTAATACAGTGTAAATAGTTGCCGAGGCATTAACCAAGTTTTGCTTTTTGGAACTTTCCAGGATTTTTTGGAGGGAGGAGTATTTCTCACCTGCTGTTGGCTAAGTCCAGAGGTGGAATCTGAGAATATGGAGTGCTGACTGCACGTGCAACCTGACCACAGATGTCCGAGCCATTCGGCCCCATATAGTGACTTCTGTGATTACAGATTTTTTCGGCACCTACTTAGAAAACTTTCCTTAACAAACGAACACTTGTTTGAGACTTAGGATCCTCCTCATCAGAACACTCGGTGTTTCACAATGAAGTCAGACACCACCCGGTGAAGCCAGGAGATGTGAGAATGGCTCACTGCACATGAACAAAACAAACAACACCCCCGCCCACCATTTCTGTGACTCCGTTCCCAGTCTTAAGACAATGGAAACAGTTTCTTCTTCTTTATTTTTCAGGTAATTGTGATAATTAGTAACGTCTCTGAAGGAGATTGCCTTACTCAGGTGTCTGAGTCTGGAGGGTATTACATTAAACGCCGACTGAACACATCAGACAACCACCAGGTCAGGACATGGGCCATCTCATATTTTGGTTCGGCAAGTACGTGAAAGCAGGCTAAGAGGACCTAACAATAACATGGCATCTGGTGAACATGTTTTCTGTGTAAGTCGCAACATACTTGATTTTCACTGGCTCAAATCCACTGAAATAGATCATCCTCCCAAAAGCACCATATATAATGCTTTTCTGGAACCACAAATAACTCAAGCGTGAAAACCAGAAACATGACTTACTGTTTCCAAAATACTCAAGATTAAAGGAAGCTGTCAGTCAAATCCCTCATGAAGAAGCAAGGTGGGGAACAGCAGCATTTAGGGCCTCTGAGCAGTGAACGTGAGGGTGTGAGCGGAGGTGGAGGAAGCGATTTACCAACTGAGTCCTAGCTCATCGCTCGCGGTGAAGAGCAGCCGTCACAGGCTGCAGTGCTTTTAAGCACTCACCTTCTGGTTCTCAGCATCTCGGTATGTAAGCCCGAAGTAGTCTTTTTCTAGCAAATTCAGATGTTCACATACTTTATCAAACAGCACTTGGCCTCTGGAGCGTTTCTATGGAAAACAAAACGAACACAAGTCAGTGAGTGTACACACACACAACAAAGGTTCTCTCAATGGCCACGAATAAAAATGGGCCAAATTTCAAATACTGCTTGCTGTAACTGTTCAGCAAGTGGCGAGCGGTGCGACCACATCGCATCTCCTCTTTAACCAGAAACGAGGCTCAACACAGCGGATCTAACCCTACAAGGACCAGCTCCTACAAACAAGCAGCAAACCCCAGTCACTCCTGCCAGCGCGTGAGCACAGGCGACCCGCAGATGGCTTCCAAACGGAGTAGCTGGGAAAGTGATGTGGTGCTTGGAAGCCTCAAGTATCTTCTGGAAGATAAAAATCCTGACACTTAGAGCATTAAAGGACCCACAACAGCTGTGTTTCAAAATATCCAAACTCACTCCCCAACATGGTCAGATTCTGAGCCTAGAAAAACTGGCCCCATTCCTTGCTTCAGGCAGAACTTCCCTTAAAACTTTCCATCCCAGACCTTACTTAGAAATTCTAGTTATGGCTTTGTTTCTAAAGCTCATTAAACTTTATTCCTTTATTATTTTTTCCCCTGCCACAAATTTCAATTTTGCATCACAGTGTTCAATTTTCTTTTAAAATTTTTTTAGAGAAAATCCTCACTAAACATAACAAAAACATTCATTAAATTGAAAGATTTTTGTTATTTCGAATATCATTAATTTTTTTAATGTACAGTGATGTAGCTGTGCATTAAAAAATAAATTATTTAAAAACATAATTTAAAAATTATAAATCTAAGATGGAGATACGTGTGTTGTATTTTTGGTCATAAAGCAGTCAGTTGGAGAAAGGAAAAAGGCAGTCATCTGGGGAAAAAAAATCCATCGGCTTAATTTATGGTGATACACAGAGTCGTATAAACCTTCAAAGGCCTTTCAACTTGGCCTTGGAGTCTGAGATGGATTAGCTGGCAACAATTAAGCTAAACTACTTTCTGTTTGTGCAGTACCAGCATTTCACATCTCATACATTAAGCATATTTGTCTTTAAGATTTAACGTAATACCGGAAATATGAAAACTGATAAACAACGAGCAGCCAAATGAGTAAGTATCTGGAAGATCCGAAAGGGGTACTTTCTGTGTAACTGTGATTATATTGGAAATTAATTCGTACCCTCAAGTGTTAACTATTCAGGATAAAAGGTACATTTATGATAGAAACATGAAGCCTGGATTGTATCAATGGTGTACTTGAAAAAAGTTTAATAACGTATGAAAATACATTGCATGTCAGCAAAACTACGTAACATTGCTCCATGGGTATGACTAAGCCTCACGACAATGAAATGCTGCTCGCTGGCTTGAACGCTTTATTTGTAAGTAACTGCATACTGCTTCTGAATGATGCTCCACAAATTACGACATTTTCACACAAAAAAGGTCGGTTCCTCCAATGTCTCCATTGGTATTACCTCCACTTGAGAGGTAAGGACACAGAGGTTCAGAGACGTTAGACGGGGGAGGCAGTCTTGTGCACTGGCTGTGACGGTGGCTTTAGCAGATAAACCTGGGCTGCATCTTCACGAGGGCCCCGCAGCTGTGTGCACCTCTCTGCTCTCCCTCTTGAGACTGTCTACTTCTTTGGAGTGGTTGGCATTAAATATAAAGTATTCAAACTCGGTCCAGCGACAGCACACAGCAGGCATCCCACAGATGTCAGCTATTATGGCCCAAGTGAAGGACAAATGGCAGAACACATGACGCAGAATTCAGGAGGCACCTCTGCTGTCGGAGCACACGCAGGTCCTCATGGTGCCAATCGGCGTCCTTAGTGTTAACCTGCCTGCTGTTTCTTTAGTTATCAATTATCTGTTCACTGCCTAGTGGCTTTAACTAGACCACAACACACACACCCCAATACACATCAGTGTCTGGCCGAGTATTTCCTCAATGAGTAAAAACAAAACACAACAAATGCAAGTAAGAAAGCTTTCCTCTGCAAAGCCTTCTCCGTCCTCTGGCCCAGCAGACCACAGCCAGGCCCCGGTGCAGGAATTATTCTGATGCTCTGCAGGCTGCCTCGGGCTTTAATGAGCTGTCTTCTGACGGCTGTGTTCTTGCTTTTGTCTAACAGGTGGAAGGACGAGCTCAGCACAGACCACTGTGCTAACTGGTTCTTCAGTTTCTGGCTTCTCACAATTTGATTTCTGTCCATGACTCACAGCTCTCTCTTGAGTAGACCAGACTTTTTCTGATGATTTTAAACATATCTGAAGTCTAGAAACGGTTCTTAAGACAATTACATGGTGGTCCATTCTTCATACTGAAGGGGTTTTTTGGTTTGTTTCTGTTTGTTTTGGCTCTCAGAACCCAGACGAGTTGTCCAGAATCCATTCTTGCTGGTTAGATGTAAACGACGAAATTCCTACCTGCTAACATCACCACAGCTGCCGGCTCGCTGGATGACAGCGGAAAGGCCTCTCGTGTCCTTTGGGCCTTCACGTGCTCATCCTTGAGTGAGGATGGGAGGCTCTACGGGGATAAAGGCCACCTGGGCCCCTCTGCTCAAGGTCGACATCACTACTGACCACCGCCCTCCGCACGCGCAATGAGAGACACACGGGCCCTGGATGGAGTTGGGACAGGACGCACAGAGGCACTATTTCCCAGCCCTCTGCAATCACTCCCAACTCCCTCAAATTCTTCACCCTTCTTACTCAGGAGATTTTTTTTTCCTAGCAGATTATCTGACTTTTCAAGTCAATAAGTTCTGCATGCTGACCGTGCGCCTCTGTAGGTCATCACACCTACAACATGGCTGAAATCCCACAATCACCAGACCTTATAGAGAATTTAATACTTGGTTCCCAAAGATCTGATGTTCCGTAAGTGACCAACTCTAGCTACCCTTCTGTCACTGGGTGTGTTTATAAACAGCCATAATGAGTCAAGACTCAGTATATTAAAAAACACCTTTTTGACAGAGGAATTCTAAATCAATGGATAATTTACCCAACCAGCGAAGACGAACAGTTTCTAGTCTCATTTGCTGTTTTCTTTGAGTTGTTAAGTTACGTCTCTGACTCAAAGGCATTCTCGGTTCATGTAACCAATTCGCTATTAGCAGCTGGACACCCAGAAAAATTGATTTTGCTTTCCTGGAATAACAGGAACTCCTGTTTCAACTTCTTTGGGTAGGTGCCAAGGAGCATGATGGTTAGATCATATAGTAAGAATGTGTTTAGTTTTATAAGAAACCAATGGTGGATTTACAATGTTGCATTAGTTTCTGGTGTACAGCACAGTGATTCAATTAGACGCACACATGTACGTATTCCAACAAATGCCTTCTGATGACCACAACCTTGGTTCATCTGGAGTTTCCCTCAACTCATCCGTCCCCTGGTTATTCTGAATCATCACAGCGAATCACTTAATCTCTACGCATCTCAGTATGTAAAACTCTGCTCTTTTAAAAAATGTCATCTCAATACCTTTATTACATCTAAACAGAATTAGCAGTCAGTTCTTAACATCACCAAATATCGAGTCAGTACTTTAATTGACCCAATTGTTTCAAACATTTTTTTTTCTTTTTTCATTTTGTTTGATAAGCCAATATACTGCAGGTGCCTACATACTTCTCAGGTCTCTCTTAACCCAAAACTTCTCCACTTATCTTAGTTTCCCCCTTGAAATTAATCTGTCTAGGAGACCAGGTCATTTGCCTTTAGAGTTCCCTCAGTCGAGACTTTGCTGTTTCCATCTCCAGGGGATAATTTAACATGTTTTCCTGTCTTCTTCATTTCCTGTAAATGGAGAGTAAATTCTAGAAGCTTGATCAGATTCTTGTTTGACTGTTTCCCATAAATGATGCTGTGTAATTTCATCAGGAGACATAAAATGACTCTTTCTTTTTTTGGGTGATATTAGTAGTCATCAGCACTCATGATCACTGCCCTAGACGCATTCATTCGAGGAGGCAAGATGGGAATATTCTAATCTTAACAACTCCTCCTCCATGGATTTGCTGGAGTCTGTCTGTGCAGAGACCCTCCTCTTGGTCAGAATTGTGTATCCAGTGACACAGTCTGACAGTGGAAGTCAGGATTCACCAGCGTTGATGCCTTTTCCTTTATCCAATTTCAAGATAACGAGTTAGCTCTCAAGCACCACCCAAAAGTCACCAAGGAGAATTTCTGCTTTATATTTTCACTGAGAATTCGTGGACTAAATCAGCTTTGAGGCATTTCAGTCCACTGTGGGTGTTCCCTATACTGATGCCCTAAATGTCTCCCTAATGCACTGCCTCGCCCTTTGCCTGTCACCTCTCCCATCCTTCATGATGCCTCTCCAGGGCCACTTCTTTAAAGCCTTTCCCATCCGCCCAGCCAAATGTGACTTCTCTCTCCTGCAGACAGGATCACACTTCACGGCACCACGAGGGCACTTTCCATACCCTGCCTTACATCCCAGCTGACCCTCTGTGAACTCCCCGAATATCCCGGCAGAACACAGAGATGTTTCCGCTGGCATCCTGCCTCTTGTATTTATCTGACATGGAGCCTCATTTTGGTCAAATACCATTAAGAGATTAAAAAGGTCACTTGAAACTTTACATAAAATTTTTCTCACTCGCACATCACAACCAATGTCGTAGACGCAATATTTTAAACTCATGGTTTCCAACTGTGGGCCCTGAGCATTTAAAATATGCCACTGTCCAGGAACCCCCTCAGGTCAAATAAATCAGACTTTCTGAAGCTGGGCCCAAGGCCTCTGCATGTTTTCAAGATCCCAGGGAATCCACACAGGCAGGGCTGAAAGGTACACTAGCTACATTAAGTTTACTGCTTAGAAATTCTTAAATATGGGGGCCCTAAAGCAATTTCTTCTTTTTCTGAGCAAATGTGTAACTTTTTCAGACCTGGTTCAGGCTCACACCAATCTCATGTAGGCTCACTGGTCCCCACATTCATAATTGCATTACTATCATTTTTACTCACACATGTACACACGCTCG